GTAGACAAACCTGCAGTTCCCTTTTCAGAAGTCCCTGTAAATATGATCAATATGACATGGGCTGAGAAAGGAAAAGAAAGAATTACAAAGGAACCAGAAGAGAAGAGATTGGCTGAAAAACCTACAGGAGGGGTGATTAAAACACCCGAATATCCAAAAGCAGCCATAATCAAGGGGATGGTCATGTGCAGTAAGTGCCAGTGCGAGTGTGAGCTTGAAATTCCCCCGGCCGGAGTACTCATTGACCATGAATTAATCAGGAGAAAGGAAGAAGATGTCAGAAGAGAAGCCCGCGAAAAGATTAAGCAGGCAACGAAAAAAGACACTTCCCGAAGCGTCTTTCAACGACTAGGAGGTGATTCCCAACCTAAAGCTTTGTCAGAGGTATTTCGAAACCATGAGGTTTCTGATGAAGCGGAAGACATGGAAGCCAAAATACGACGGAGTGTAGATCATCCTCAATGTGGCCAGATGGGGAGGGAAATCAAGAAGATTGATAGCATGATCAATCCTAGTAGAAAAGGAAATCCTGCCCACCTCGGGCGAAAATGGTATGTAGTCGGGAAGAACAGACAGCCTGCTAAACCAATGGGAGTCTCTATGATCAGGAGGGTTCAAAGGCAGCACAAAGCCTACATGAATTCCTTAAAGACCCCCACAACATCTGAAGCCTCCAAAAATCAAAAGCTGGAGAAAACAGCATCTTGAAGAAGTGGTCAGCTCCGTTGGAGAAGCAAGAAAGAGGTGGAAAAAGCCGACAGCAAGACAGAAGGCAAGGGGAATCACGTGCCGCAGAGCCAACACCCCGGGAAGTACGGGATCTTGAGGAGACCTCAAGAAGATCTAATCATGATGCCAACTCCTGGGTGGAAGCCAGGTCCTAACCATGCTGAAAATATTTCATTTGAAAGGAGACCACCTTCTCTGTCATTGGTGGATCATTTTGGTGAAGTCCCAAAACAAACACTGTATGCGGGCATGAATCAACAGCAACAGGAGGGGGCACCAGAACCATTACTTCTAGCTGATGCGATGACTTGGTTGGATGAATTTATGGACCAGATTGGGGACAATAAAGAAGGTCCGCCCGAGCCTAATAATTTCCATATCAACATGACATATGTGTTGTCCGCCACGTTTGGTGCCAGACCTGATCAACCCGCTACTATGGAGGGTGATTACTTGACAACTGAGCCAATGATGGCACATGTCAATATAGAGGTGGTTGAAGAAGAAAGCTCAGGCAAGGCTGAATCCTCAAAAGCATCCAAAGGTGGTCCTCTAAGGATTTACACGAACGAGATGGTGTTTAGCCGCCCGAACAGCTCGTTGGCCAATCATCTGAAACCTATATACGTTACAGCCCACTTGGAAGGTGTGCCCGTCAAAAGAATTCTAATTGATGGAGGAGCAGCTGTTAATGTGTTACCAGCCAAGCAGATGAAGAAAATGGGAAGAGGTACGGAGGATCTTATTCCCACAGACCTCACAGTCTCTAGCTTCTCAGACGCTATCACTAAGACTCATGGAATATTGCCTCTAGAGGTGGATCTGGGATCTAAAAAGATAATGCTGGCGTTCTTTGTGGTGGACTGCACCTCCACTTATGGGGCCTTAGTCGGAAGAGATTGGATCCACCAAGGTTTGGCTATACCCTCCACTCTTCATCAACAAGTGGCTGTCTATCATGAGGCGGGCGTAGAAGGACCAGGCTTTTGGGAGATGGTAGAGGCCGAATCACGGCCATTTCTCCCCACAGCCAATATTGTAGAAGCAAGTTTCTACAACCCCAATGTAGGAATCTTGAAGTGTTCAGGAGCTGACGAGAACGGCCGCCCTACCAAGGTGACAGCCCAAAAGCTTTTAGAACAAGGAATGCTCCTTACTAGAGAGGAGTGGGATAGACCTTGTATCCTCCCAAATCCCCTACACCATCAATGAGTGGACAAAAGAATAGAGATCAGGTAATGGCAGTTAGATCCCTGATTAAAAGACTGCTGATGTACGGGAAGGGAAGAAGACAAGAAAGGGAGCTCTTGGACAGAGAAGAGCGTGAATGGCAGGAGGAAACTTCAACCAGCCAGCATGAAAGCAAGGAGGAATCTTGCAGTGAAGAACTGGATGGGGCCATTCGAATGGCCGAGTGCATATATGATCTGGATGGGCCAGACGACTTGCCCGAGAGCCCGGAGCTGGTCGAATTTTTGTGTACAGAACCAGATAAGCCACCATCAGAAGTCCAGGATCCTCTGGAAGTCATTAATTTAGGAACAGAGAAGGACCTAAGGCCAATACAAATCAGTGGTTTATTGGGGGTTGATGATCGGGCAAGGATTGTTTGTCTTTTGCAAGAATTCAAAGATTGCTTTGCTTGACATTATACCGAGATGCCAGGGTTAGATCCAACCTTGGTGGAACATAGAATGCCCATCAAGGAAGGATATAAGCCTGTCAAGCAAGCACCACGGAGGATGTCAAAGGAGATAGAAGAAAAGGTCAAAGAAGAGATTGAAAGGCTAGTGAAAGCTGGCTTTATCAGACCAGCCAAATATGTGGAGTGGTTGGCCAACATCGTACCCATTTTAAAAGCTGTAAAAAAAGCGGTATGATGTTGTGTGGATTACAAAAATATTAATGGCGCTACACCAAAGGATGAGTATCCCATGCCCATGGCCGACTTATCCATAGATGCAGTGGCAAAACATAAAGTCCTATCTTTTATGGATGGGAATGCCGGTTACAATCAGATAAAGATGGCTCCAGAAGATATACATAAAACAGCTTTTAGGTGTCCCGGTCATGTGGGGGCATATGAATATCTGGTCATGCCATTCGGGCTCAAAAACGCTGGTGCAACTTACCAGAGGGCAATGAATGCCATCTTTCATGATCTAATTGGCCAGAGCATGGAGGTATACATTGATGACATAGTGGTCAAGTCCAAAACAGAAGAACAGCATCTGGAAGATCTCAGACAGACATTAGCAAGGATGAGGATCCACAAATTGAAGATGAATCCAAAGAAGTGTGCATTTGGAGTAAGAGCAGGCAACTTCTTGGGATTCCTGGTGCATCAAAGAGGTGTAGAAGTGGATAAGAACAAATCTCGGGCAATAATGGAGTCACCTTCACCTACCAACAAGGTGCAACTCCAGAGGTTACTAGGCAAAATCAACTTTTTAAGGAGATTCATTGCTAATTTAGCAGGCAAGATCCAACCACTGACTCCTTTGCTAAAGTTGAAAGATAAAGAAAAGTTTGAATGGGAGCCACCGCACCAACAGGCCTTTGACAGCATCAAGGCCTATTTAACTTCTCCACCAGTGTTGGTGCCACCACAAAGGGGAAAACCCTTGAAGCTGTATATCTCTGCCTCTGAAAAATCAATCGGAAGCTTGCTAGCCCATAATAATGAAGGCGGGAAGGAGCAGGCAGTGTACTACCTCAGTAGAATTCTGACCGAGGTAGAAACAAGGTATTCCCCGGTAGAGAGATTATGCTTGGCTTTATATTTCACTGCCAGTAAATTAAGGCATTACATGTTACCTTGTCACGTGCACATCATCGCCAAGACAGATGTGATAAAGTACATGTTGTCAAAGCCAATGCTCACAGGAAGGATTGGGAAATGGATTCTAGCTTTATCAGAATTCAGTTTTCAATACGTACCCCAAAGGGCAGTCAAAGGTCAAGCAATTGCCTACTTCCTGACCGAGCATCAAGAATCTTCAAGTGAGGTGATCAATATCCCTGGAAGCTTAGAAGTTACTAGCATTTGGATCCCGCCGAGAAAAGATATTTCGGGCAAAGAAGACTGGATCCAGTAAGAGATAAGAAGAGTGGCTGGTCTCTGGATCACTCCTTGGAAGTTGTATTTCGATGGATCCCACACTCAGAAGGCTTCAGGAGCAGGAATTGTAATTATAAACCCTCAGGGAGTTTATCATTATTATTCATTTCTCTTGGATTACCAGGGGAATACTAATAATCGAGCAGAGTATGAGGCCTTAATTATTGGTCTGGAAATCTTGATGGATCTAGGGGCAGAAGAGGTAGAGGTCTTTGGAGATTCAGAGTTGGTAATAAACCAGTTAAATGGGGAGTTTAAGTGCAGACATATTACCATGGCGGGGTATTACTTGGCAGCTACGCAATTATTGAATTTTTGGGATTCTGAGATATCGGTCAATCATGTTCCCAGGGAATCCAATTTAGCGGCCAACGAGATGGCACAACTAGCCGCAGGAGTGCCAATACAGGAAAGGAAACATGGGGTAGATGTTGAAATCCAAAGAAGAAACCTCCCTTCCATCTTAGAAAGGGGATTCAGTCTAGATATAATGGTGCTAGAGGCCGAGATAGAAGATTGGAGGTCACCTATTATTCACCATTTGAAGGATCCTTCCTCGCCTACCAGCAAGAAGGATAGACAGCAAGCAACTAAGTATGTCTTATAGGCAAATAACTTACTAAGGAAAACTCCAGACGGGTTACTATTGAAATGCTTGGGCCAAGAAGAATCCATGAGGGTAATGGCCGAAGTACATGAAGGAGTTTGTGGAGCACATCAGGCTGGAACAAAGATGAGATGGTTGCTTAGGAGGTATGGTTATTTCTGGCCCGACATGGAAAAAGATTGTAAGTCTTATGCCCGAGGATGTGAAGAATGTCAAAGGCACGGACCTCTCCAGCATGTGCCCTCAGTACCTTTAAATCCAGTGGTCAAGCATTGGCCTTTCAGAGGATGGGCAATGGACTTTATCGGGCAAATCTATCCAGCTTCTAGTAAAGGGCATACCTTCATAATTGTGGCAACGGATTACTTTACCAAGTGGGTGGAAGCATCAGCAGTAAAATCCATAAATTCAGCCACAGTCAAGAATTTTATCGAGACCAAAATCCTGCACAGATATGGAGTGCCCGAGACCATAGTAACGGATCGTGGGCCATCTTTTATTTCAAAAGAAGTTGAGGAATTTGCAGGCAAGTACAAAATAAAGATGATCCAATCCAGTCCGTACTATCCTCAATCAAATGATCAGGCAGAAGCTAGCAACAAGATCCTGGTCAACATTATCAAAAGGATGGTGATGGATAGTCCAGAAAGATGGCATGAGAATCTGGGAAACACTTTGTGGGCATACAGAACTTCTAAGAGAGCAGGAACAGGGACAACTCCTTATGCTTTAACTTTCGGGCAGGATGCAGTGCTCCCCGTGGAAATCAATGTGAGTTCTTTCAGAATTCAAAATCAATTTAGATTGCATAGCGAAGAGTATGTCGAAGCCATGTGTCAAGGAATTGAAGACTTGGATACCGCCCGAATTGAAGCCTTGAACCAGATTCAAGAAGGGAAACGAGCTGTTGCTCGAGCTTACAACAAGAAGGTGAAGATGAAATCTTTCAAGGAAGGGGATTTAGTATGGAAGACAATCCTCCCTCTAAGAGCTCAGCTCAGGGGTTTTGGAAAATGGAGCCCGACATGGGAAGGTCCTTTCATTATTGGTCGTGTTCTAGATAGAGGGGGATACTACCTGGCGGACCTTGAAGGAAACAAGCATAAACATCCAAGAGGATGCGATGTCAGAGATTGTTATATCGAAGAGGATGCGAAGTAAAGCGAGCTTCGGGATATCATTATGCAATGCGTATTTATCAAACATTCAAGATGGAAAGACAAGAGTTGCTGAGATAATGTATATTTCATTTCGACAAATTGATGAAATTTACAAAAGATTCAAGGCCAACGTATTACAATCAATTCTCTTCCTGGATGCAATGGTATCTTCAGTTGGTCTTCCAATAACTTCATGGATGGAACCAAATCAGGTGATCGGGTTGTGCGGCCAACATGAGCCTGGTAGAGGTTCCTCAGACAGGACCATCAACATATGTAATGGTCAAGCCCGATTTATCACCGCAGCAAGCAGGGAGACAAACCGTCAAGAGGAAACCGCCTGACCAAGGGTGTTTGAGATAGCGGGGCGTTCGACCAAGGGTGTTGGAGATAGCATTTCTTTGATGAAAGCCTTTTTTCTCACGGAAAGGAAGTTTTAGGAAACCCCACTCAAAGTTTAAAGAACCCATTTCTCAAAATACTCGAGGAAGATGGAAGAAAAGAATGAAGAGGATTTGATGGCTTAATAGAAGAGTTTCTGAGCCAGAATTTATAGAAAACCAGAGGGTAGTTCAAAGGTCGTGAGAAGCTCAAGGGACATGGGGTTGCCTTCATCCTGTCGAAGGAACACGAAGTTCCAAAAGATTGAGATACACGCATGCGGGTATTCAATTAATGTTGGCGCTTGGGATTCCAATCTTAACATTGATTGAAGGGGGCACTGTTTGGATCCAAACTTGAACTTTGGGCTCAAGAAAGGAGTTGGCCCAAAAGGAAGCCCGAAAGGGAAGATAGCCGAAGCCCAGTCGAAGCCCAGAAGGTAGGAGAAGGCCTTTTCTGACTTGATGCAGCTCATGAAGACCACTTGCTTACCTACCCAAAGGCTAAGTGGTGTAGGCTGGTCAGCTACACAGCCCATAAAGTACTTTATGGTGGCATTACATGTAAAATAGCTGATGAGTCATCACCCTCAAACCGCATTCGGGCAAAGCTGCTGCTACCAAAGGCCAAGCCAAGTTGTCTATATAAGAAGAAAGAAAATCAAGGATTAAGGACACTCAATCAAACAAACAAATGCAAGCACAAACTCTGCTCAAAGCCAGATTTGCCTTCAAAACAAAGCTGTAGTCAGCCTTCATCCCTTTCGAGATAAACCTCCATCCCTTTCGGGATAACCCTCTCTTCAACCTTTGTAATAACTCTGCTACCTTGTTCAACCTTGCTGTAGTATCGATTCATCTTTTGTAATGTCTCTCTCTCTACCCCTCTAAGCTTTCAGACCTTTGACAAAACTACAAAGATATGGACCTGCAAGACGAGCAACCTTACCCGATAAGGTTTAACCTTGCCCGACCTTCTTTGCTTTAGTTTTGTCTTTTCAATATGTTGTATACTTCCAGTTATATGCAAGTTATTTCTAGCAACATGATTATTAAGAGGCTTTCTCAGTACTTGAATCCGATTTGAATATATCGTCAGTGTTCAAACCAGATCTAAGTCCTAAGCCCTCGGGCATGTAAATCTAATCAGTTAAAAGTCCTTGGCCTCAAGGCATAAAAAAGAACCTTATGTGGACTTAACCCATCCACGACAGTCCTTGATAAACGAGAAGTCCGAAGTTACTTGGGGCGCAAGTAATCAACCTACCTTCTAGTTTTCTTTCTATTATGCCATGATTATCATAGAATGCTTGAGCATGGATGGATTCTAATGGAAAGCCTCAAGGCCTACACCTAAGGCCCCACAAAGGCATCCATTTGGATTCATTCCGTTCAGCGACCTAAAGAGTCCAATTATAAGAATGAACTCTGATGGGAAGCCTCAAGGCCTACACCTAAGGCCCCACAAAGGCACTTATTTGGGTTCATCCTACTTCTTGGATTCGGGTAATCAGAAGTATAATAGTTAGAAAACTCCTACAATCACGAGAATGAATATGATGCGTTCGAGCACTGGTTTAGTTATTTATGAGAAGCCTCAAGGCCTACACCTAAGGCCCCACAAAGGCACTTGTTATAACTAACACGGTTTCTTGGATACATACATACATACAACTAAAGCACGACTGCTATTTTACATCTGCCATGCTAAAGATGGCAGTGGCACGCCTAAGCACCTAAATGTTAACCTTGATTGTGAGCCTCAAGGCCTACACCTAAGGCCCCACAAAGGCACCTCTCAAAGTTAACGTTGTCCTTCTCTTTCAGCCTTGCCCGAAGAGTCTTGCCCGAAGAGTCTTGCCCGACGAGACTTGCCCGATAAAGCCCGACAGTGAAGCAGAAGCCCGACAGCAGCCCTCAACCGGCGCCAACCTCCAGGGGAGCTGTGTGCTCGTCGGCCAGGAAACATTCCCGACGGAAATTCCTGCCACAAACAGGATCAATCAAACAAGGAAGTGGAAAAGATTGTGAGACAAATAGTGAATAGGGAAGAGCTGGTTCTCAAGTGCTCCAAGCTTAGCCCGTGGAAAGGCTTCAAAAAGTATAAATACGCCAAGCAACTTCTCGATCTGGATAAATGTCTAAACAGGTTGCTGAAGATACTGAATGGGGAGGGAGTAAGGACCGGGTTTGAGAACTTGGCTATTTCGATGGAGAACTTGGCTGCTGTCCAGAAAAATGGTTTGGTAGGAAACAGAGAGAATATTGTGATACAAAAGCAAGAAAAATTTCATTGATTTGGGTTCAGTTCCTGAACCTCCACCCATTGCTCCCTTGCCTAGGACTTTAAGGGTCCTGAGGTTTTCGAGATGGAGCTCCGGCGAGGTTTCGGATGGTGAATGCAGAAATTTGTTTTTATTATTATTAATATATTTTCTGTCGGTTTTAGCCGACAAGAATAATTTTATTTATTTTTATAATAACTTCTGTCGGATATAACCGACAGTATTTCTGTTAGTTTTACTATTTTCTGTCGGTTTTATCCGACATAAATTCTAATAAATATATATATACTGTCGGTTATAACCGACAGTATTTCTGTCGAATATAACCGACAAAATTTCTGTCAGTTTTAGAGTATTTTCTGTCGGAAAATTCATTTCCTGACGCAGGCAATTCTGTCGCTTATTATATCCGTCACTGCATCCATTTTCTGTCGGATTTTACTTAAAATCCGACAATAAGATACGTTTTTTGTCGGTTTTTGAACCGCCAGTTATAGTGAATTTTGTAGTAGTGCGTTGATTGTTGTTTACATTTAAGCTTCATTGTTCTCATCAAATTTTGTTTTTTTTTTTCCAGATTTTCTTTATTGAAAACATGACCTATTAGAGGATTCAGGAAGATAAACGGTTTGGATCGTTGATATTATATTCAGAGTTTTACAGTTAGTGAAAATATTGCTTGATGTTTATAAAGTTTCTACAAATTATATGACATCGACTCATATTTTAGTTAATCGTAAATATCGAAACGTGATATCAAAGATCTGAACCATTCATCTTCTTACATCCGCCAGATGATCATATTTTTAAAAAAGAAAATTAAAAAAAATGAAATTTAGTAAGCAGAATAAAGTGTAAATGACAATCAATGGTTAAATATAAATTTAAGGTTTATAGATTATAGTGTTGGATTTCGAAGCTGACCTTTTCATGAAAGTTGTAAAACTTGTTACTATGAGTGATTGTATATTATTTTATTTTATTTTTTGCACCTCTACAATAATTGTTATTAATTTTGCCCTCAAATAAAAAACATTATTCATGAGGGTTTGGAGGATTTTAAAAATCTAAACGATAATGTAGGTGAAATCATTATCTACTCATGCAGGTATAATGATGAATCATGAGTGTTTATATATTATTTCACATTTTTCATACTTGTATGTATGTCTTCTTAGTTCTTACCTATACAAATACTATACTAGTTGACTTTAATTTTGGACAATATGTTAAGTAAAATTTATCATAGTAATGATGATGAGGAACTCTCATAATAAAAATAAATATTGACTAAAACTTTTTTTTAAACTTATATAGAATAATAATACAAAACTATATATTTAATATAGAATATATTATATATATTAATATGGCTATTGTATTTTATAATAAATCTTTTAGTAATTAAACTTTAAAATTATAAAATAATTTTTTTCTTAACGGGTCGAAACAGGTTACCCACGTGTATACCTGTTAGGAACCCGTTATTAACGGGTCACCCGATAATGACCCGATTAGTTATCGTGTTAACATGAAACCCGTTATTTTCATGTCGTGTCAGAAACTGCCAGATCTAGTGTAGAGAGTGAAAAGTGCACTGTTCACAAAGGCAAAACAAAGGACATCTTCTACATTGGGAAGAAGATAGGTTAGTTTGATCGTGATTGATTGGGAAGAAGTTAGCTTGCGTCTAATTCAGTCGTTTGCTTGCACATGTTGAAGTCACTAGCTTTCTAAATGGTGGTAACCGAAATCAACCCAAGTTCATGTTAAAATGATATCATAATTTTCGTTATGATGAGAATTGAGAACTTGGACCCTTTTTTTATCTTTACCATTTTTGAAATTTAGAAATTGAATTACTTTTTTATACCTTTTTGTGATCATGTACTGAGAATTTGTTAATTGTGTTAATATTTATGGGGTAGAATTTATACTTTCTAATATCCATTTCTCATGTTTAGAAATTGCTCGATTTCATATTGTCAAATAGTTTATGAATTTCCATATTAAGTACGTTAATATGTTGTTGCAATAATTTAATTAGATGTGATATAAGTTCATGTGTTTATACATTTGAAACATAATTTTTCACACAATTTCTAATCACGCAGCAACGTGCGGGCAAAACTTTCTAGTATGTAGCAAAAAATGTGGACAATTTATCATGAAATGTTGCTTGGTACGAGGGCTCTCTACTTGTTTGAGGCATATAAATAAATAATCATCTCGAATATGATTAAATTTTTGTAAAGATGATCTTGAAATAATGGTCAAGAAGATAAACAATTGTTATTAAAAAAAGCTGAGGCTTTACCATAAAACTAATTGATAAT